TCCCATGGGATTTCTTTTGTTACTTGTTGAGGGCTGCAGTTGTCTGTTTGCATGACAATTTTTCCAAACGATTTTGCAAAGTCTGTATCACCTTATTGCTTATAGTCACTGAAGTTTCATTATGTGTTTAGCCCGTGACATGACAGACTTCCTTAAATACTTTGACCTAGGTCCTGGGGGTGGATGGGCAGGGGAGTGTGTTTATCTTTTTAAAATCTTATGATCAAAAAAAAAAAAAAAATTAATGATCAGTGCCGCTGGGGAAGCCACTACAGCTTGAGCAGGCCAAAACAAAGCTATGTGGATCCACCATACTGGCCAGAATGCACACCCCCCAGCTTTTGAAGGACATAATCCCTGTTGTCCTCCCTGGCATGAGCCAGCCACTTTAGGAATGTGGGCCACTATCCCACAGGGTGGTGCAGGGGTAAGGAATGGGGATTATAGTTGGTTTATGCTCTTAGTGAGGTTCAACAGCCTCTCTCTTCAGTCAGCATTGTCTTGGTTGTTACAAGCGTCTGATCAGATTCCAGAGTTCTGAAATAGTTGATTCTGATTATTCAACAGCTTACTGGTTGTTTTGGTGGAGGGACTGATCCCTAGAGCTTCCTATTCCACCATTTCCTCTATACCACTTATGACATTGATTTTCGTAGAACTGTATTTAAAAGTCTTGTTCTCAGTCACTTAAGATTCCATAAAAGATACTTGAAATCTTGAGGAAAAGATTAGTATTCAGTAACAGTGTTGGAAGAATAGGCTAGACATTTTGGAGGGAAAAGGGCTGGATCCGAGCATTACTCCTTATGCCAAAACAGACTCTTTGTGTATTAAACATTTAAATGCTTTTTTAAAAAAAATAATACCAGGAGGAAAAAACTAAATAATTCTTTTTACTTTATAAAAATAATCTTGGAGTGGGAATGCCTTTCTATGTCTAATACAAAACCCTGGAGCCATAAAAGCAAAGATTGGGTAATTTGTATACATTTCAAAGTTAATTTCCTGCATTTATAAAAAAACTACAAATCAGTAAGATGAATTGCCCAATTTATTTGAGCAAAGAATATGATAATTTATAGGAAAAACAAATGACAGTGAACATGAATAAAGAATATCATTCTCATTCATAATTAATGTTTTTTTTTTTTTAAAGATTTTATTTGAGAGAGAGAGAATGAGAGATAGAGAGCACGAGAGGGAAGAGGGTCAGAGGGAGAAGCAGATTCCCTGCTGAGCAGGGAGCCCGATGTGGGACTCGATCCCGGGACTCCAGGATCATGACCTGAGCCGAAGGCAGTCGCTTAACCAACTGAGCCACCCAGGCGCCCTCATAATTAAAGAAATGTTGATCAAAACCACAATCATGGATTATTAATTTATGAGATTTGCAAACTTTTTCTTTCTGGTTTGATAATGTATAGTGTTAAGAGTGTGGAGGAGTACACTGTTGTTTATTGTTGGTAGGAATGTGTCTTGGTGCAACCTTTCTGGAAAGTACCTTGGTAATACACATCAGAATGTCAAATGCACAGCCCTTTGACCCAGCAGTTCCACTGGTAGAGATTACCTTATAGATATTTCCAAAGATATGCCAGGATAGTTATGCATAGATGTATAATTATATTGTGTATATTATAATAGCATTGCTCATAATTTCAAAAGCCCAGACATTTGAAATTCTATAAGAATAGAGCTGCTTAAATTAGGATATGTCCATATAGCAGGATCTATATAGTCATTAAACAGAACTGAATTAGCTCTTTCTGTGCTAATGTGATACATTAGTCCATTTGGGCTACTATAACAAAATACCATAGACTGGGTGGCTTATAAACAACAGAAATTTATTTCTCAGAGTTCTGGAGGCTAAGAAGTCCAAGGTCAAAGCGCTTGTAGATTCTGTGTCCAGGGAGGACCCACGCCCTCGTTCATAGATAGCTCGTCTTTTCCATGTGTCTTTACATGGCCAAAAAGGCAAAGTAGTCTCTGTATCTCTTTTAATTTTTTAATTTTTTTATTAAGTAAACTCTACACTCAATGTGGGGCTCAAACTCAACCCTGAAATTGAGTCACATACTGTACCAACTGAGCCAGCCAGGCGCCCCTAGTGTCTCTTTTATAAGGACTCTGCCCTTGTGACCTCCTCACCACCTAAAAACCCTCCTCCAAATACTCTCACATTGAGGGAGTAGGTTTATTTGTTTTTTTTGTTTTTTTTTTTTTAAGATTTTATTTATTTGACAGAGGGAACACAAGCAGGGGGAGTTGGGGAAGCAGGGCTCTATCCCAGGACCCTGGGATCATGACCTGAGCGGAAGGCAGATGCTTAATGACTGAGCCACCCAGGCGCCCCGAGGGAATAGGTTTCAACATGAATTTGGGGGGACTCAATCAGTCTATATGATGTTAGAAGTTCTACAAGATCTATTAAGTGACAAAAGCTAAATGCAGAATAAAATGTAGGTAATGTCTGAAACAAATAATACACGATATGTTTAAAAAAAAAAGATAGCAGGAGGGGAAGAAGGAAGTGGGGGGAATTGGAGGGGGAGACAAACCATGAGAGACTATATGGACTCTGAGAAACAAACTGAGGGTTCTAGAGGGGAGAGGGGTGGGGGGATGGGTTAGCCTGGTGATGGGTATTAAAGAGGGCACGTTCTGCGTGGAGCACTGGGTGTTATGCGCAAACAATGAATCATGGAACACTACATCAAAAACTAATGATGCAATGTATGGTGATTAACATAACAATAATAATTTTTAAAAATGTAAGTAATGAACCCATTTGGGTAAGGATTTTTAAGGCTATATATGATTTATTCTGATATATGCACATAGAAGTTTCTAGAAATATGAGTTTGTTAATAGTGATTTTCTTTGGGAGGGGGAATAGGAATAAATGGTGAAGAATTTTTTTTTTAAACAACTTTCCTTAAATGCCTTTACATGTGTATTATTCCCCCCTTTTTTTCAAATAGCTAAAACCCAGATTCTACAGTGATGTGATCTAGTAGAGAATCTATTTACCCAGATACAGTTCTCAGAATTTCCATACTTCTAAGTCTTACGTTTATATACTACTAAACTTCTCCTTTTGAAATTGCAAATACCTGAATAGTTTATTTCCTAGTCTATTTTTGTTTTAAATTATCATGAAATGTTTTAAGAGGTATAGCCATAAATTAATGCTTTTTCTAAAAACACTTATTTTACCTCCAAAATTTATTAATGAATAACCTGGTATTTTGGCATCTTCCTAGAAGAGGCAGGATGATGTTATAGGAAAAATAGCATAGGCTTTGAAGTCATAGAGACCTAGAATCAAATCCCAGTTTAATAAAAATTAGCTCTTATTTTAACCTTGGGAAAGTTACTTGAAATAGCCAAACCTGACAATATCAATCTCCACATTTGCAGAGTCATTATAAAGATTAAGTGAAAACAAGGTGTACAGGGGCGCCTGGGTGGCTCAGTCGTTAAGCGCCTGCCTTCAGCTCAGGTCATGATCCCAAGATCCTGGGATCAAGCCCCACATCTGGCTCCCTGCTCCGCGGGAAGCCTGCTTCTCCCTCTCCCTCTCCCCCTGCTTGTGTTCCTTCTTGCTGTGTCTCTCTCTGTCAAATAAATAAAATCTTTTAAAAAAGAAAAAAAAGGTGTACAGTCCCTGCTATATAGTAATTAAGTTTCTTTTCTTGGTCTTTCTCCCTATCTCTCAAAGATGATTTTCAATCTTTGGGTTTGTTTGTGTTTTTTTTAATCTCATACTTAGAAAATCTGGCATTTTTTTAAGATTTTATTAAATAAATAAATAACTTATTTGACAGAGAGAGAGACAGACAGACAGTGAGAGGGAACACAAGCAGGGGGAGTGGGAGAGGGAGAAGCAGACTTCCCGCAGAGCAGGGAGCCCGATGTGGGGCTTGATCCCAGGACCTTGGGATCATGACCTGAGCTGAAGGCAGATGCTTAACGACTGAGCCACCCAGGCGCCCCAAAAATCTGACATTATCAAAGTTTGGATATAGTATTAGAGCCAGGTGACAGCGCCAATAAATCTCTTGGGTTTACTGGTTTATTTTAATTTACTATGGAATTATGGGGCATGAGCAGGATCTCTAACGGAGTTTATCTTGTTAATTGTTGCTGTTTGAAATTTTCTCTAATGCTTGACTACCCCACAAAATATATTTACAGTAACAACACAGGCAATCCTTTATTCTTTGTTATAGCTTTATCTTCGGATTGAGTTCATTTAGTAACAGGGACGATATTTACTATGCTCTTTGGTCTATAAACAACTTGGAGAGACCATCAGATAGAAGAATACCTTGCCTTCCCACTTAATTCTGCTTCACAGCAGAAGCTCCTACAGGACTAAAATTCTGATGGCCACCAGAGAAACTCACATTGTTTGGGGCTTTGGTGAGTTTGCCCCTGCGGTGCTGAAGGACCAAAGGCAGGATTGTTCTGGCCACTTCAGCCCCTTTTCCCCTCACTCCCAGGCTGGTGTATAGCCTAATGGTCTTGCAGTTCCTTACAGTTGCTGAGTTCATTCTTGTCTCAGAACCTTTGCATAATTTTTCCTTCTCACAATTCCATCCTCACTTCCTCACCCCAACTTGGCAAATGTGGATCGAATCTGAGGTCTCAAAAATTCTGTCATTTGGATAGGTACTATGTTTGTTTGGACTAGAAATATGTACTTTGTTTTATTTAGGAGATTTATCTAGCTTACAGATCACATCTCTGTGGATTCTATTCTCTCATTCAGACAGGCAAAATCAAGAGTTAATACCATGAAGAGTGGTGGGTGGTTCCTGTTTTTGGCATACTCACACCCGCAAGCCTTGCTCTGGGGGATGAATCCTCCGCCCACTAGTGCCCACAGGCAAGGGGACTTGATGGAACTATGGAACTTGTCTTAGTTTTCTTAGTGATCAGTAAGTTTCTCTTTGGGCTGGAATTAGTACTAATTTTTCTTTCTCTTACTGTAGCACTGAACAAGATTTGTGATGAAATGGAGCCTGGAACAAACTCTTTTCGAGTAGAATTTCCTGATTTTTCCAGCACCATTCTGCAGAAACTGAACCAGCAGCGCCAGCAAGGACAATTATGTGATGTCTCCATTGTTGTCCAAGGCCACATTTTCCGGGCACACAAAGCTGTTCTTGCTGCCAGTTCACCCTACTTTTGTGACCAGGTACTCCTGAAAAACAGCAGGAGGATTGTTTTACCTGATGTGATGAACCCAAGGGTATTTGAGAACATTCTCTTATCTAGTTATACAGGACGTCTAGTCATGCCTGCTCCAGAAATTGTTAGTTACTTAACAGCAGCAAGCTTCCTCCAGATGTGGCATGTGGTAGACAAATGCACTGAAGTTTTAGAGGGAAACCCTACAGTCCTTTGTCAGAAGCTAAATCATGGCAGTGACCACCAGTCTCCAAGCAGCAGTAGTTACAATGGCCTGGTAGAGAGCTTTGAGCTGGGCTCTGGGGGCCATGCTGATTTCCCTAAAGCCCAAGAACTGAGGGATGGAGAGAATGAAGAGGAGAGCACCAAAGACGAGCTGTCATCTCAGCTCACTGAGCACGAATACCTTCCCAGCAACTCATCCACAGAGCATGACCGGCTGAGCACGGAAATGGCAAGCCAGGATGGGGAGGAGGGGGCCAGCGACAGTGCCGAGTTCCACTACACCCGGCCCATGTATAGCAAGCCCAGCATAATGGCTCACAAACGCTGGATCCACGTGAAGCCTGAGCGCTTTGAACAAGCATGTGAGGGCATGGATGTGCACGCACCCTATGATGAGCACCAGGTCACTGAATCCATCAATACCATGCAGACAGAGCACTCGGTCCAGCCTTCGGGAGTAGAGGAAGACTTTCATGTCGGGGAAAAAAAAGTGGAAGCAGAGTTTGATGAACAGGCTGATGAAAGCAATTATGATGAGCAGGTGGATTTCTATGGCTCTTCCATGGAAGAGTTTTCTGGAGAGAGGTCAGATGGGAATCTAGTTGGGCACAGACAGGAGGCTGCCCTAGCATCAGGCTACAGTGAGAATATTGAAATGGTAACAGGGATTAAAGAAGAAGCTTCCCATTTAGGATTCTCAGCCACTGACAAGCTGTATCCTTGTCAGTGTGGGAAAAGTTTCACTCACAAGAGTCAGAGAGATCGACACATGAGCATGCACCTCGGTCTTCGGCCTTATGGCTGTGGTGTCTGTGGTAAAAAATTCAAAATGAAGCATCATCTCGTGGGCCACATGAAAATTCATACAGGCATAAAGCCGTATGAGTGTAATATCTGTGCAAAGAGATTTATGTGGAGGGACAGTTTCCACAGGCATGTGACTTCTTGTACCAAGTCCTACGAAGCTGCAAAGGCTGAGCAGAATACGACTGAGGCTAACTAAAAATAGGATCTGGCCCTTGAGTGGCAGGCACAAAAATAAACTATGGTAATTATGCAAATCTGGGCACAGATGATGCGTGCTACTTGCTATTATGAGAGAAGCTTAAAAAAAAATGGAAGATATTTCTGAAAGACCAGCTCTAAGTAGGCCAATTTAAAAATCTAATTCCTCAAATTTGTATGTTCCTGTCCAGGCCTGGAGTGGGTAATGGGGAGAAGTTAACCCACCTCCCAGCTGGTGAGGTAAAACTTCAGGCCCGTTGTTGTGATGGAGGCAGGTGGACTTGGTGATAGAGACACCTGCACTTGGAACTGGACTCCAGCCTACCAGTTCTGTTTCAGGTGGCAGTAAATTTTGATCACTCGTTACAAGGTCATGTTGGAATTTTATTTAGCTCTCACCATAGATAGGTAACGTGGATTTGTTTTGGTAGCTGCCTCACTGAATGAAATGCTACTTAATGTAAAAGCTACAAATAATGTGATTCCTAGGATGCGAAAGTGATTAACAGAGCTCTCTTCTCTGGTTTTATTTTCTCTAAAGGGTATTTTAACTAAAAACTATGGAGATGCTAAGAGGGTGATATTCTAAGTATAAAACAAATAACTTACGGTACAAGCTTCAATTTCTGTTAAGATGCCACTGTCACGATGTGTTTCAGACTCTTGATAAGGCAAAGTTTTGTATTTTAGTACTAACATTTAGTTTGGACAATTGTATCTAATTGTAATTCTCTAGGGTGCCAGAGATAGGTATTTCTAATTGGTTTGCTGTCCCAAATCCTGTTTAATTATAGCATCCACACAGTGGGATCTGCTCTATGGCTAGTAGGCGTCTAGCCTGCTTTGACTCTGACCATGGTACCATTGGCTGCAGCCGTTTCTCTCTCAGATTATGATGCTTCCTGAGGAGGTCAGTCAGTGACCACAGTTAGTGGGAACGAGCCAGAAGTCATGGCTGAGAGTTACCTGTGCGCGGAAGTTTATGGAGGGCTACAGTGACACTCCCAACTGTCAGAGTTGCTGAGTAGCAGAATTTTGAGCGGCAGAAGAAAACAACTGCCCAAGCAAGAAGAGTCTTGAAAATACACTGGTGGGGGAGGTAGTCTTAGTGGGGCACGCTGAGCTAATGCTGCCAGTTCTTAGGAGTGCTGGAATGTGTTTTCAAAGGGGGAAAGAAGGGATCCTAATTTTAGAAAGTAGTCTACAGATTTCATGCTCCCAAATTCTAGGTAAAGCTGCATAAATTTACAAGTCCACGTAGCTGTACGCACCAGAAACCAGCAAGAAAAGCAGCTGTTCTTGTGATCTTTTCTGCAGCTCGGGCAGATGTTTTAGGTTAAAAAGGAAGCCTCTGTTCGGGATGCTTTCAAGCTACGTCAGGTACCTGAAGTTCTCACCAGGGTAGGACAGGGTGCTACTCTTATGTCAGCTTTTCCACAGATTATTGGTCTTTTACTTCCAAGTGGAAACTTTTTTCCTTAAAATAAAAATAACTTTTCCTGGATTTGAGGTGAAATTTTGTTTTAAAAGTTTGGCTTTGCTCCAATGTGATAGACGTTGCTGGCAATGGCCTCTGGTCCTCAAGCTCCAACCACAAAGGCATCTATCTACTTGTTGAACGTTGTCTGGAAAGGGGAAAGAAAGTACTTATTTACCAGTTAACTCTTGCAATCTACATTACAAAACAGGGATCTATTCATTAACACTGTATCATTCTCGATATATAAAAAGCACTTTGTATTTAAAACTTTATTATAAATATATATATATATATTGATTTTTTTAACCTAGAAACTAGATATTACCTCTTGGTTGTTTGCCACATTAATACTCTCTTTGTGTTGAAGTTTCACCGGTTAACAGTCCTTTCTCTGCATACCTGACAGATGTGTATAGAGGTGACTGTGCAAGCAGAGCTCAATTGCTCCTTCTCTTTTGTTTTTTCATGTTAGAAGCCACTGGGTTTTAGGGATGATCCTAGCCATTACGTGTGAGAAGAAATTGTTTTTTTATTCCTACTGATTTCACTACCAAGACAGTGAAGCCATTTTGTTCTGCCAAAAGCTGATCACCCTCTCCCATGGTATTAGCAAATCATTTTCTAATGATTTGGAAGGTTTGATGTGGTGTTTCCCATTAAAGATTGTATTCAAATGAGCATTGGGACATTTTGGGAGAAGAGTCTGAGAGGTAAAATCAAAATATTCTAGAAAAATCATGGTTCTTCAGTTATGCTGAAATTAGGACAGCACCTTTGTTATGGGTAATGTTGAAGAACTCTTTTTTTTTTTTTTTTTTTTTTAGCCAGGAGTGGTGGGCAGCCCTTTGGTGGCAATTTGGGAAGTAGTCAGTTGTGCTGGGACTTAATCTCATGTGTTGTGAAGAAAGGTGTCTTTTATCAAAATCCTAAGATGTACATCAGCTAAGTATAGAATTTAAAGTGTAAGTTCCTCACATCTGCTGTTTTAAGTTGTTTATGGTAGTTGGGGTTTCCTTTAAAATTCGGGTTGCTAATCGGGTCAGTCAGACCCTGCGAGGTGGTTGGGCATCTGAAATGCTGGCCATGTTCAGAGAAGTGGGGGACAGAGATTGCCTTAGTTTGGATAGTGAAAGTGAATTTTTATAAACTTTGCTTTTTAGGATTAGGAGATTGTACTGGATTACTACCTTTTTTCTCCTGCCCACTCTGGGTTGGATAGTCTCTCTCCGTAGCCTCAGTATAGCTTTAGAAAATCTTTATCCTTCCAAATGAGTTTGGATAGTTGTGGGTAACATTTTCCAAACAGTCTTTCAGGGATCGTGTTAATGGCCTACAACCAAGGTATTTGTCCCCTACTTTGAGTCTTAACTGTGGTTCTTCTCCAGTCCCAGTGGGAAAGGGCTTCAAGGCACCATCAGTGGTATTTAATATTAGTATTTATACCTAATGCCTTTAATTTTAGATCTACACATTACAACAATCCACTTGGTCGAGTAGGGATCACCATCTAGGGAAGGACTGCGGTGGCCTTTCCTCACGTGTTGAGGGTTACCCTCAGGCGCTCCTGAGCCCCAGCCTATTGATTCTGATTTCTAGATCTCACCTTCCTCTAATCCCTTCTGTAGGCCATGGCTTTCAAAGAGTCTACCCAAAAGGGTCTTCTCCATTTTAGTGGCCATTTGCTGAACCAAACTGATCCGGCGCTGGCTTCTCGCTGTTTGGGAGAGCTGCTTGGTCTCAGTGACCCCTTCCTGCAGAGGCACGTGCATCCCCAAACTGCTGCCTAAGTGACATGGGGGCAGAACAGAAGCAGCTCAGTTGTGTTTGTCCTGGGGAGGGGGATTTGCTGCAGCCCCCTGCATGAGGGTGGGGAGGGCTTCATCACACCAAATCCAGGAGTTTGTCTTTGTAAAGGTCTCATTTAGGAATGCTGGAATCCAAGCAGCATATTTACCCCATCTGTGCCACACTAATTTTGTGATTTAATTGCTTTCATGGGTCACTAACTTTGAGTAAAACCAGGGTTTGTTTGTTTGGGTTTTTTTCTTTGCTACTTATATATTTAAAGGTACATGTTTCTTATTTCAAATCTCTACTGATAGTGCCCGATGGGAAGATGCTGGAACACGTTTTGCAAATGTGACTTTTTTTTTTTTTTTTTAGTGTTGCTTGAAGCCTGTGTCATATTATGTCAGTGCTGCTGCCTTCTTTCCTTTTATGAGGTTCCCAATGTTTCTTCCAGAAAATTACTTTATTTATGCAAGTCAGGTGACTCTTAGACCACAAAACCATTTGATGATAAACAGATTATCATTAGGTGCATATCTTATTGATATTTTGTGAAATGTTATGCCTGTGTTGCAAAAGTTGAATAGTTTTGTCCTTATATATTGCTGTCTTAAGTGTACAGCATGGTTTTACTTAATTGAATGTTACTGTTTAATATTTTCTTCTTATAGAAGAGACCATGCCCTTTTGTATGACATGTTTTAATAAATGTTATCCGTCAACTTTGTAAAAGTTTTGTTTTTCACTCTGGTTATACGACCACATGTCTTTGTTTTCATCCTGGCTTTTGCCCCCTGAGAATAAAAGTTAGGTTGTGGCCTTTTGATAAGTAAATGCCAAATGGATAGTCTGACCAAATTGGTAGTGAGTGAGCATTTGCCGCATCAGGCATTTATGATGATTATCTCATTTTAACCTCCCATCAGCTCTATCAGGTATCTAGGTGTGCTAGATATTCTGTTGGCTCCTCCAGATCCCCTACGTAGTCTGTACTTCGCTCTGTGGAGGTTGGCCTCTGCAGACCTATCCTGTCTTCTGGTCAGGGTCCACCAGAGATGCTCTGGAAGGAGCTTGGCGGATTAGAGGTGAAGAAATCGGTGAATTCATTCCCCTGGCTCCTTCCTGCCAGGTGTGGGTTGACAGTGGCTAGGCTCCTCTGCCTAAGGCCACAGCTCCTGTCTGACAGCTTCAGGGTTTGGTGACCACACCCTCTCCTTGTCCTAGCCAGCAGAGGATTGGTCCTGACTCCCTGTTTTGCTTCACTGTCCTCACAGAAGTTCCCTAACCCTGCCCACACCCTTTATAAATAGCCCCTTTATGCAACTCAGGCACCCCAGCTGAGTGTGCCCTTTGTTTCACACCAAAACCCTGGCTGTTTCTTTAGGTACATTCATTTCACGTATGAGCCTGTTGTGCCTGAGAGAAGGTAGATGTGTTACGGTGGAACAGTGGCTGCAGAGTGGAGCTGGGATTCATGGCTGCAACACTTGGAGATGCTTCTTTCCAGTGCTCTGTCATGCTCCCTGCTCTTTAGTTGGGTCTCTCCTTCGCCTCACTGTGTCTTCCCCCACTCATCCCCCCCCCCGAAAAAACCCTCAAGAAACAGCAACCGTGCTCTTTAAAAGTGCTGCAGGCACTGAGGGGGCCCACGTATTTCCTAACAACAGCTCATTACCAGAGACACTGCTTGTTTTAGACCAAACTTAACCGTCTTCCCACACAAACCTTCTGTTACCACTGTTTGTTGTGAGGTTTCTTTTCCCCTCCCCATTGCTGATTTTAAAGCCAACTACAGATTGCCTTAGATAGCTTAGCCATTCTCTGTGTGGGAAGAAGTCCAGAAGAACCATTTCTAGCCCTTTTTGAGGTGGGGCCTGTCAGCGCTAACCAAGGGCAAACAGCTCAGGCCCTGCGGCATGGTGACCCCCTGACCCCCATTGAGGCCCCTGGTTACCAGCAGTCCAGCCCACCTGGGGAGTAGGCTTTCTTATACAGCTCCCGCAGGGGCGGAGACCTCTAGGGTGTGAAGATGAGAAGCACTGTGTTCCTTATCAGGAGAAAGCAAAAGATGGAAGTGGTTCGTTTGTATTTGGGAACAGAAGGGGGGTGGGATGTGAGGGGTGTAACCCAGATGGAGCATATAACACCTGTGCAGTTTATTTAGATTTCCTCATAGTCAATTCAGGGACCGCTTCCCACCAAACCACCGGAGTGTTCCTTGAGACAAGTCTCCATGCCTGGGCATCTTGGAGGGTACACAGCTCTAGAATTTGCCCACAGTCAATGGACCAGCTAGCAGGTCAACAACAGGAAATGAGGTAAGCTTGAGCTTGATGTAACAGTCATTTATTACTTGGTAAATGATTTTAAGTATGATCTTTCTCTGTGCAGAAAGTGAAAGATAAGAACTCTGCCCTTTATAAGAAAACTTGGTTAGCGTTCTGTTCAGAGTTCAGTGAATGGAGATGGGCACGGATGGCATTTTTTTTTCCCCTTAATGAGAAACCAGAAGGGGACTGAGAGTGAGGAAGGAAGTCTCAGTCTTACTCTGAACTGGTCTGACTCGTTTGAATCAAAACCAAGTAATGTGATTTTATAATCTACCACTTTCTTGTGGCCTGCTACAATTACAGGAGAGTCACAGTGTCCTTTGAGGGAGTATGTGGGCTCTAGAAAAACAAGGTAGTTCATAAGCAGTATTGTAGGTAAATATACGTTATAAAAAATAGTGGCATTATACTTAGACTCTAATGATTATGAGTTCTCTTTTTTCTTCTTCATATTCCAAAATAAGAAACCAGTACTGAAGCCATTAAATGTATTTATAACTTAATAAGATACTAGTTACTCCCCAGAGTATACTGGTCTGCCTAATGTAACAGCTAACCTTTATTAATGGAAGCCAAGGAGTGCTTCTAGAACTGCCCCTTTCTTGTTTGGGGGTCAGTAATGCTGTGATAAAATCTCACTTGTTAGGGTTCTCTGAAAAAATCCTCACCTGCATGACAC